TAATTCGTTATATTAAGAACGAACGAACGAACGTACGTTCGACTTCATCAAATTTGCTTAGCTTTTTCTTTTTTTCTTTTAAATCGTTCTAGCATAATCACTTTTTACATTATAACATCGCAAAAAATTAATTTCGAAAACAATAAAAAAAAAAGATCTGCTTGCCGATGCAAAATAAAATATTTAAAGTAATACTACTACACTACCAGTTCGATCTTTTAATTAACGATCTATCGTATAAACCACGCGAAAGCGAATGTTAAATTGAAGAATTTATGTGCAGCAAAAGAAAAGGAAATAAAAAAAGAATAGAACGGGAAATTACGTAAATAAATGACTGGACGAAGATAAGGTCAAAGGTTTGAAAGTACCTTCCTTTTTATGAAGAACTAATTGAAAATCATGTGATGATATGTTTAAAAAAAGAAAAAATAATAAAAATGAAAAAAAATAGTGAAATGATACTGACCCTGCAACATTTGCTCTAATTTTCGTCTATCAACGCGGAAACGATCCTGATGTAGATCCTCTGGATTAGAAATTCCCAAGACGGCCGCGAGATCTCGAATTTCTTCGCGACTCTCGAAACCGGACTTGCCGGAAATGCTACTCGTGGGTGTACCTTCCGACGTTTCCGACATAGTCTCTGCCGCCCTTCGCTCTGTCTGTATCACCTCGTCGGGTCTCATCTCGTTCGATTGCTCCTACGGCGAGTTCGCCGTATATTTCTACAAGAACAAACCCCCCCCCCAAAAAAAGAAATTAATATATGTATATACATTTATATATATTTCAAATATAGACAAAAAAATATCTATTACTCTGATACGCTTATATGGATTATATTTGTATATAACTGTAGGAGGAAGATGTGTACATTGGAAAGGCACGTACATAAAAGTAAAGGTGAAATGTGGATATCGAAATATAGTAGATGTCGTCGTCGTTGTTTGAAGTTCCTCGTGAAAATAAAGTCGAGGACATTGTCAAAGGACAAGAGACGTATATCAATACTCTTATCGCAAAAGATCGGTTAACTATCTTATTTAGGATAGTTAGAAATGCGATTAATAATTCTATGTATACTTATTAATCTAATCGACAAAATTGAACGATAATGATGTATTAAGTGTTCCAGGGTGGACTCGTACGTTGATTTTTAATTTTAAAATACGAGAGGAAGACTGAACAACAATCGGAAAATTATTTGTCGCGTGATTTTATTTTATATTTTGAAAAATCCGATCGAGGAGCATAAGGAAATGGGCATTTAGATGATATTATACACTTGTTTTCAAATGGTTGTGATAGATACGGGGGTAAGGAAAGGTAGATCGCGGTTAGGTGACTCACCCTATACGTAGGTGTAAGAATCTCTCACGTTTCCTTGAATTCTTTTTCTTTTTCTTTCTTTCTCTCTTTACTCTCCCTTACTCTCTCTCTCTCTCTCTCTCTCTCTCTCTCTCTCTCTCTTTCTATTTCCCTTTCTCTCTCCTTCTCTCTCTCTCTCTCTCTTTCTATGTATCTCTCTGATTCTTTTTCTCTGTATCGGTTTCTTTCTTTGTTTCTTTCTCGACGTCTCAATATTGTTTATAGTTTAAACGAGGATGATCCTAGCTGCTTGCAAGCCGGAGAGGAAAAGGGTGACGTTGCTATCGGTGCCAACCGTTTCTCGGAATTCGAAGGAATTTTCGTGGTAAGACTCGATTAGTTTGACCAATCACAAACGATCTTTTCCCGTTTGCGAGACGCCTATTCAATCTCTAAGTTCGTTCGTCTCTCTCGCACTCGTTCGAGCAAACGCGCGTTCATCCTCCTTCTCTTTTCCTATTCCTATGTCATATCCAAAGACCTTTGTCAGTCTCTGACATGAACAAAAAATTGTTTTCGCGATCCATCACGCTCGAACGTACACGCTTTCTCTCTCTCATTTATTTACTTACTTATTTACTTTCTCTGCTTCTCTCCTTTTGTTTTCCTCCCCGCGGAAAGAAACAATGCAGTGCCTTCCACTTCTACCACCTACAGTGACTAATACTCTTCTAATTGCTCTCAAAAAGAAATAAGAAAGGAGGAGAAAGAGAAGAGAAGGTCGCGACGTCGCGATTCTACTTATTCTACTTATTTCGAACTCTTTGCTCGTGATTATTTACCGTCGAATCAAACCAATTCTCCGTTCGATTCCTATCGTTTCTTCGATGATAACAGAGAGAGAGAGAGAGAGAGAGAGAACATTTCAAATGACAAAATAACGACTCCCTTATTTTTGGAAATTTTATTTTACAACAATATTACCTCTAATCGTATACCAAAGTAGAAGAAAACATTGTACATACCTATTAATTAAACATAGATTTGTGCGTGGAAGATTAAGTTAACGTTCGATTATAATTGTAAGAGAAAATAATAAGATAAAATTGGGAAATATTAGAGGAGGAACGATACGAACCTCGATAAACGGTCGGTCAAATGAACCTTCGAAGGAACGAAGGATCGATCGATCGATTAGAGCGACCTTGCGAGCGTCCTCCTGCTGGAGGAAGAAACCCTTTCGGAGCCCGATATCGCGACGATAACGACGAGGTGAACGACGAGGAAGCGACGCGAGACCGGCTTATAGCTCACCACCTGTTTCCGCCGGCTGTTACCTTGACACCGTCGCGAGAGACTGCTCAAGAGGAGTGTGTTCTCCGTCTTTCTTTCCTGATGAAAGAGCAAGTGCGCGCGCGCTCGCGCGCGTTCGCAACCTCACCTATACATACGCTTACACGCCTGCCTATACGCCTGCCTACCTGCCTGCCTGCCTGCCTTCCTTCCTTCTCTCGATCTTTTCCGATTCTTACCGATAGATCCCGATTACCCTATCGGCGGGTAAAGCCAATCAAGAAGGTTACGCGTCCCATCGATCTCTCTACTCAATTTTCTTCTATTTACTTTGCCCTTTAATCTTTGCCTTTTAAACATTGAAATATATTCGACAAGTCTCCCATTTGATTTATTATTTATTTTAATACATCATCCCTTATCTTATCCAAATGATTTGTATGTCTCCTACGAATCGTCGTATAAAAATATGCCCGAGCAAATGCGATAGAGATGAACGAGATGAAATTGATTCTTAAATTATTCAACGATCGATCTTGAATATCCAAACGACCGGTTAGATTTTTTTGCAAACGAGTTTTATACCGAGTTGCAAGAACGATCTACATGTACAAGGTAACACGATGTAAAAGCACCTCCTTTCCGAAGAAGTATTTTCAATGATTCTAAGCTATCGAGTATTAGGTATTTAAACGGTACATAAGTCGATAAGATTTTTCCATCAATTTAAAGACTAATCATTTATTTACAAGACATGTATTTCCTTTAAATGGACAGGGAGAGAAAGCCGTTTGAAAATATTTGTAAAGGGCAATTGAGACTAATGGGACCCCGACAATGATTCATTTCTAAAGAATTAGAGGAAAATTAAAATAAATATCTTACTTTTTGATGAAGAAATAGAAGAGAAAAGTGTAATAAGAAGAAGAAGAAGAAGAGGAAGGCTTCCTCGTGGTTCGAGGGCGTCGATTATGCAAACGTCAGCTGGACATCGCACATAGATCGATTGTTCGCGCGTACAATTTCGCGGCGAAAGACGCGAGCGTCCGACCCCGCGTCCTTTTGAAAACCGACTGATGTCGACCGGAACCGGCACTCCACGAGGATTCACGATCGCCGTTCCGATTGGACCGCTGCCACCACCGCTTTTGCCCCCGTTCCCGCCACCGCCCCCGCCACAGACCCTGCCCCCGCTCCTAGTGGACGCTGCTAGCCTTATCACATTTTCTTCATTACGTTACTTCCAAAACTAATGTAAGTTGCCATTTTCATGAATCGCGACGTTCGCCTTTCAATCGATGTCGGATCCAATAAAATGGAAAGTAGGCAATTACAAATGCTCACTTTTTCTTAAAACTTGTTTTACGGAACAAAACGAGAAGTGAAGTCATTTATCGGGGCTTATTACTCGCGCATTAATCTTAACACTGGATTTACGAATGTTTTGTTCGAAATTTCGAGTTGCATAATACCCTTTCGTACACTTCCGATAAACTAACAATAAGATAATTAATGTTTATTCTTATCAACCGTGCATAAGAGTCATCGTAGAGAAACGTTGCGCTAGGAAAGAAAAAAGAAAAAATAAGAAATACGATAGCAAAGTAAACGACGGGAATGACGACCAACGATCGGATTACCTGACATTAGCCTTAGTCATAGTTCGTTAAGGTTTATGGACGGACCTCGACGTAATTAAAGTGCAATTTCTAACTCATTGTCAACGTTCACGTGTGGCCAATTACACATTGTCATAACACGTTATGTATATTAAGAACAAGCAAAACGTTCGAAGGTTAACTCCTGTTGATTTCATTTTCTTATTGCATCAAATTCACTTTTTTGCTTAGTTCTGTAATAATTTAATCGACTGTTCATTTATTCATGTAAACGCCGTTTGATCTTACTTCCAAAAATTTCGACTTCTATCTTTATTTTATTGTAGTTTCTGAAGAAACGATATTTCCTTTTCTGTAAAAACACATTTTCTTTATTATACGCGTCGTTTTAATTGACTTTCTTTACCTTTTGACAAAATATAAAATACTCGATTTGAAATCCCGTTCAATAACTTTGCCTCCATTAGTCTTGTACACTAACGCATTATGAAATCACTTCTGTGTAATCATACTACATAATCTGACATACCGTTTAATTATCATCATCGATGAAATTATCTTTAGGAACAGATTATGTAACATTTGTGATATAATCACTTCGTTTAAATGTTAATTATTGCAAATAAAAAAATGTAATTAGATCACTACATCGGCGCGTTAAAGAGTAGATGGCGCGTCGATCGTTTTGGCGCTTCCAGGATCGTAATTATGAAGGGTTCCGTAAGGGTGTCTATATTTTTTTATTAGATGGCGCCTCGATCGAAATTTTTTCAGTAACGTATCAAATGTAAACTCGAGTGGCACCGTATTTCTATTGTATTTAAATATGGATATTTAATTTTTACGATTAGAATAATTATCCTAATTTCTTCTAATCATATATACACGCAATTATTTGAAACGTTAGGATAATTTAATAACACGTTTGATATGCATATACATACGCACATATTATCGACTCGACATCCTGCTGCAATGATGTGGTCTTCTTATTTGTAACAACAGTTTGCTCCACAAAACTTCTATTTTAATATTATATACTATGTTTTTATTTTAATTAAATAATCAAGAATACAAACGGTGATCCAACTAATCTGTGATATCAATAGTTTGTTCTTCTTTATTAAGTGTAAATGAAATTTATTATAATATCCCTTTTTTGTAAATATATAACCTAAAACTAAATATAAACAATGAAAAATGTTGCAAACACTAAGGGAACGTTCTCAAAAAAGGAAAAAACTTCTTGCACAAACGGTAAGTTATGAAATTGTTCGATTATTTTTTAAATCCTTCCTTAAATTTTAGATTTTTTTAAATGTCTACTTTTTCTTTTTTTAGCTTGGAGTTTCCAGTGTAGATGAATTGAGACAGATTTTGGGTACTGACATCGATAACGTTCAGAAAAAAAAGATAAAACTATTGTCGGATAAATCTGAAAGTACTGTAAAAGATGCAAAAGATGATGCAGTACCCACGGATGAAATCGTGTACAAGGATTCATCTACTTTTCTAAAAGTAAGTTCTTCAATTAATTCCATGTGTTTTTTACATTTGACTACTTTTATAGAAATGGTTTTTTAATATTTCAGGGTACACAATCTTCCAATCCACATAATGATTATTGTCAACATTTTATCGATACTGGTCAAAGACCGCAAAATTTTATAAGAGACGTAGGATTAGCCGATAGGTTCGAAGAATATCCTAAACTCAGAGAACTAATTAAATTGAAGGACGATTTAATAGCAGACACTGCTACTCCTCCGATGTATCTCAAAACTGATCTCCTTAGTTACAATTTAAAAGAACTCAATTGTAAATTTGATGTAATTCTTATAGAACCGCCGTTAGAAGAGTATCAAAGAACGTGCGGTGCAACGAACGTTCAGTTGTGGAACTGGGATCAAGTTAATACGAATTCTATTCTATTGTAAATCAATTGTACAAGTTAATCTCGATCTCTATTCAATTAATTATATGTTTTCTCTCACAGATAATGGAATTAGATATTGGCGAAGTAGCTGCTAATCGAAGTTTTGTATTTTTATGGTGTGGAAGTAGCGATGGTCTGGATATGGGACGTTTCTGCCTCCGAAAATGGGGTTTCAGACGTTGCGAAGACATATGTTGGATTCGTACAAATATTAATAATCCTGGACACAGTAAGAACTTAGATAGTAAGGCTGTGCTTCAACGAACTAAAGAGCATTGTTTGATGGGTATTAAGGGAACTGTGAGAAGATCTACGGACGGAGATTTCATTCATGCAAACGTTGATATTGACTTGATTATATCGGAAGAGCCTGAATATGGATCCATTGAAAAGCCTGTCGAAATATTTCATATAATCGAACATTTTTGCCTTGGTAGACGAAGGTATAGTTTTAATATATCGATCATCCTGATATTAGCAATATTCTATTTTACATATGGTTTTTAGATTACATTTATTTGGACGCGACAGTACGATTAGACCAGGTTGGCTAACCGTTGGTCCAGAATTAACAAATACTAATTTTAATGCCGATCTCTATACCGGTTATTTTTCCACCGGCCAAATAACCACAGGATGCACAGAACGAATAGAAGCACTTAGACCAAAATCTCCGCCACCTAAAGGCAAGGTTTCCGGTAGAGGTAGAGGTGGTTTTAATCGCGGTAGAGGAAGGGGTAGATGAATGAATGTGTAAATATTTTTTAACCAACTACAATAATTCAATTTGTAGTTTCTTATATAAGAGAATTGTACCTATGAGTTGCATGTGATTCATCAATTGTATATGAACTACTCGATTATAATACTTGTACGTGCATTTTAAACTAATATTATCTTATTAATGATCGTACCTCTTGTCGTAAACTAATTTTGACAAGACTAACTTATAAAATATCCTTTTTCCATTTTTTTTAATTATACAATCGATAAGCTAAAAAAAAAGAAGAAAAATAATCTTCTTCTGAATCATCTTATAAATTTAATTAACATTATATTTAAGAAAACTAGAAAGATCATGTTTCAATATTACAAACTCTCGTTGTTACAATATATTTAGATGGCATGTTTTACGTATTGATAACGAATGAAAATATTATTTTATAAATAATAGTAATAGTAACGTAATCGTATAAAAATGACGATATAATATTCTATTTCAATTTGATGATGAATTTATTTAATGATCATGAATAAAATCTTTACACGAAGATATATATTTAATCTGGGATCATTCCACTGTGAAGTCTGATTATTCAAGCAGAAAAAAAATATATGAGACTTCTCTTTTTTATATAAACGTAATTTTTACGCAATAGTAGAAGTGTGATTTTTTGTACTGTATGATATAATATATTAACGAACATAATAAATAACATATAGATTCGTTCTAAACAGTAAGGTTTTTTAAAGATATAAATAAAATGAATCTCACAATAATAAAATTTCAAAGATAAATCTTTATGTTATAAAAAATAAAGGATCGTCTTGTGAAGTATTATTGCTTCCTTTCTTGCACAGATAATAATTCATTGTTGGTACGTACATCGATGAAACGCTAGTAACATCGTAATTAATAATCACAAGAATTATAGAAAAATCGCAATATTCCTTTATACATATATATAATTCATTAAAATATATTTAAACCTCATTAAAAGTTATATTTAAATACTGAAAATCATCTTATTAACATTTCTATACTGCTGAAAAATAAATGTCAGGACTTATCTTTAAATTTCAATCGTTTGACGATACGTTAGTATAAATTTAATATAAATATATATAATTCGTATGTATTTGAGAATATTCAAGGAAAACCAAAAAGAAGAAAAAATAATAATTAGGGAAGAAAAGAAAAGAAACATAATCTTACAAGTATGTTTATGTGGACGCAGTGTGTTGTAAGTAATCGAAGAAATTGCTTACATCATAAAGAAGAGAAAAATAAATGATTTACGATCGTGTTGTCTCGTATTATTGATAATAAAAATAATGAAATTAGGCTTAATTAATTAGTTGAATCGAAGCCAATGTAACGATAATATAATTTTGATGAAATAAAAGATATATGGATATATATATACGAGATATTAGTAATCTAATTATTTAAAAATTCCCCATTATTTTTTTTTACAAAGAATCCTTGTATATTAACGAGAAGGGTCGTATCTCCACGCATGCATAAGATATAGCTAAGGTATATATACGTACTCTAAAACAATTTGTTAATTAATCATTCTCACACATGTTTGAGATCAAGTCATCTAATTTGTACTCTGTAGGCTAAGTAGAACATAAGATCAATGTTATATAAATATTATTTCTTAAAGTAGTTTCGTTTTTTAAAGTATGCAGGCTTATACGTAATCGTATTGGTCCCAGTAAAGCTTCGGGTAACGAAAATTGTAATTGAAAGATACAAAAAAAAAATAGAAAAAAAAACAAAAAATAATAAAAAAGCAAATAAACGCATTTTAATTATGGCTTCGGTGTTGTCCTAAGCTTATATTATCTGTTTGCAAATGTTAACGACACAGATTTCATTAGACAAATCGTTCATAGACTTAATCCTATACAGGCAACAATGAAAATGTTTCATTTTTTGACAAAATTAAATTGCGGAGTTAAATGCGAGAAAAAAAAATATCATCACCGTCATTATCGTCGAGATTGTGCAGAATAAATTAAAATAATCATTTATTGTACAGTATATTAGAATAAAAATCAATTAATTTATTAACGATTGTGATCGTGTTAAAAAAAGCTTCTTAAAGTTTGTACGGTAAAAGGATAAACGTGCGTGCTCGCTTGTGTGTATTCCTTTTCGCGATACTCTTTTCTTTAATAATTATAACAATTCTAAAACGTACACAACGCATGTTGATGTCTATATAACAATAATGTCATTAAGATTCCACATAAGTAGTGACGTATTATAACAAGAAAAAATATCTATCGAGTATTAAACATCGGGGAGATTAATTTTCGATGTAACATTACGCTTGTAACGCTTTATGATGTTGCTGGACGTGTTTACCATTTTAAATTTCTATGAAGAAATAATTCTAAATATGCAATACGAGAAAGCGTATTTCTTATTTTCTTCCACGTTAAATATTGATATTATTTTATAATGCATAAATTTTCATCGAAATAATCTTTTTTTTATTCGCCCCCCCCCCTTCAAAAAAAAAAACAATTTTAAATAATTGCTAAAGTCGTCAATTATCATTATATTATTATTATTATTTTCATTTAAATATACCTATATGTTTGTATTTATTACAAATAACGATGTATCTTAGTACTCGATATACCACACAACTATGACCGCAAATATTTGTTTAACAATTTAGAGGCACAAATTTCTATCGAGCTAAGATGTAAGTCGATATACGATAAAATACTTGGAACGGATTTTACTCTCTTTCCCTTTTCTTTCTATTTTTTTTTTTTCTAATAATAATTTATATATGTATAAATAATTTAAATTGCCAAAAATTATATATTAAATAAAGAATAAGTCTCGCAATTGCATAAAACAACTAATATGCGTTCATGAAAATACCGATCCTCGCGCGGTTATATAACTTTGCCCGTTCTAACTCACTATGGCAAGAGAGAATTTGTATTTCTTTTTTATTATTTTTTTATTATTTATTTTTGTACCTGCAAAAAGATGCTAGAAAAATGTTTACGCCGAAAACAAATAAAAAGAAAAACAAAAAAAGCAAAAGACCTAAACGAACAAGAAACAAGAAGCAAAGGCGGCGTCGAAAAATGATTCATACGAAAGAAAAGGACATAACATTAGATTAGATGTTCAACAAGTTAAAATATTGATATTTGGCAACTATTCTCTCATTTTCATGTACTATAATATATAATACATATCATGTATTTAAAAAATTGACTAAAAAATGTTCCATCATTTTTTTTACTTTCCCTAAGAAGATTCAAAAAAAAAAAAAAAAAAAAACTAAATATGAGTTAAATATAATACTTTGAAAAATTCAATAATCTTTTCCTAAAATCGAATAAAAAGAAAAGCCGAGCATAGTCTAATCGAAAATGCGACACACACACGACATATATATTATTATATTATTGATTTAATAATAAAATGTTTCACGAAAAATATAAATTTGTTGTTTTTCTATTTAATTAAATATATTAATTCCATTGTAAATCAATTGAAGGAGTCTTCTAAACGATACGTTTCGACTTACCACTGATTTTTCATCGCGCGTACTCGCTATCAATAATATTATTATTAATATTATATTAATGTTACTATTATTATTATTTTAATAATATTATTATTATTGTTATTATTATTAATATTACTATTAATATTATTATTATTATTACTACTCTCTCTCTCTCCCTCTCTCTTTTTCAAATATATATTTTTATCAGTTATACACGACACTGTATACCTGAACGTTAATCAAAAAAACCGACGAAATATCATTGAGTCTAATTAATGTAAATTAAATATTTATTACCTAAGAAGTTAATTAAAAAGAAAGGAAGAAAAAAATAGAAAAAAAAAAAAAAAAAAAAAAAAATAAAAAAAGAATAAAACGACAAAGAGAAAAAAAAACTTGATAAAGCTTGAGCTTGTACCAACAATTACAGGGGATGCGGGTATGCATGCGTAGCGGATGGCAGGCAGGATACGATGGTCGATCGATCGAGATCTATCGATCGAATTCATAATCAAGCGATGCGTTGGCAGTCAGAGGATGATCGTCTGAGAAGAAGTTTAGCTCTGAATGGCCCGCCATCAGTCAAGTCGCATAATTTTCACACATACGTCGACTCCCCTGTAAGCAGATCAAGCGTCAGTCGCGAGCAAACAACAAAATTATTATTTTTATTATTATTATTATTATTATTATTATTATTATTATTTCTATTACTATTATTACCCCCTCGTTACTATTTTTACTATTACTAATATTATTATTTGTCGTCTTGCTTTAAAAACGAGTACAATGGCGGTGAGGTTTTAATTCGTTTTAGGATAAGACCGCATTCGAAAATTCCTGTGTGTTGTGTGTATATGTGAATGAATTATAATCGTGTGATGTAGCGATAAAAAAGATTAGAAAATAAATATGTTTGGCAAGTAAAAGAAACTTTGAACAAATGGCGACTTATTTTTTTTTTTACATTTTGATCGACGATTCAAAAAATAGTTATATGTTACTATACAAAAGAATTAGCATTGCGAATGCATCGAAATGTTATTTACATGGTACGGATTTACACATGTCGTGTAAAGGATTATTACTCTGTCTGAAAAAAAATAAAATATAAATTATTTAATTAATGTTAATATTACATTATACATATATATACACATGTAGTGTGTATGTACACGTAATGAAATCTATTTTCAAAAGATATGTATTACGAGGAAGAAAATTAGATGAATGAAGTAGTTTGTATATGTGAAACGTGCAAAGGTGTTAATCCAAGTATCTTGAAAAGTAGTCGTCATACCTCTTGATAGAAGTTTATCTTTTTTTGTTTGTTTTTCAGATGTACAGGAGAATAGTAGTAGTAGTAGTAGTAGTGTAGTACAGATAGTGGTAGTGGTAGTGGTAGTTGCAGTAGTCGATAGTCGTATGTAAAGAGAATGTTATCGATTAGAAATGGAAGAAAAAATTATTACGTGTTTCTCGTTTATATTTTAAAACAGATTTTGCATGAATTATATAAAAGTGGGCCGTCGTAAAGAACGTAACTTATAAAACGGTACTTATATGATCTCTATATAGCGAAGGAAAAAATGTTTCTTTTTTTTTTTTTGTTTCATGAA